AGGGAGGCGGTGCCCCACCTCGCATCGCTCCATCCCGTCCGTCGGCCGTGCCCGACGCCCCCCGCAGGGTTCTCTCATCAAAGTGTGTGCTCGCTCTGGGCGGCAGCCGCGGGACACCGGCTGAGGACAGCCGGACCCTCCCCGGGCCGCCGCCGGCCAGGCCTCTGGAAGTTTCTCCTGGCCCTTGACCGGCCGGGCCTGCGCGAGCGGCGCGGCGGGGGTGTTGTCCTGAGCAGGCCCGAGGAGCCAGCGATCTTCCCGGCGTTTCGCAAGACTCCCTTGGGAGCACGGGCGGCTGGAGAATGCTCTTGTCAACAGCTGCGATGTGAGCAAAGCGCTGCTATCCGGAGCAGTCTCGATGTTTCAGTCTCTGAAAATCGGTCGGGACTCCAGTCCCTGAAAAAGGTGTTTGTGGAAGGCTAGGTCTCTCAAGAAATGGTCCATAACACAGATCGTAAATACGATCATGACCCACCTAATTCTTGGACGTTTTTTCATTCAGTTCATTTCATAGCTTTGAAAAATTAGTTTAGTAAATCAGACAGAATCATGTGCTCTAAGATGCTTTTTTCATTCCAGATTTTTTTTTTTTTCCAGTTAGTGAGTAAGAAAGAACGCTTTTCAGTTCCACACTGCAAATTCAGTGCTTAGAGTGTCAAAGGAGGCTGTTCCTAATGAGTGAGGAAAGTACCAGACATCACTGATGCATGCCCGAGTTTATTCCTCCCGTATGCTTTAGGATTCTTTAGTTCTTAAATTTCATTTAGGCTCAAGTAGTCTGTGCAGTATATTACACTTCTAGTTACATCTGTAAACGACTGGGCAGACTGGCTAGATAAAAAAGAAAAATACAAGATGATAAAAAGATATGACATCTAGTTCAGTACCTTGTTTCAGGCACTGGCATGAGCTGCTAATAAGACAAGATTTGGAACTTTGGAAAAAAACAGTGGAACATAGAATGTTTCTCATGGATTTAGTACCAGTCTCTGATTATGCTTGGTGTACTGTCTCAGATGGCATAATATCCAGCAAAAATGTTGTTGCTAATTCTGAAAATATTGTATTTTTTCTATGCAACAGAGTAAAGCTGGATGGGCACTTTAAAATGGTAATTTTTTTTTGCTCAGCTTTCCTAAAAACAAAATTGTCTGTACATACAAAATTTATGATAGGTATTTATCTAGGCTGCACATTAAATTTATTACTTTATGTCCCTGCTTGCAGCTGATGCTCTCTAGTAACGTTAGATACTGTAGATATTGCTGTTTTCTCCCAGTGGTGATTTCTCAATAGACTCAGTCCTTTCCATTTTCTCCTACAGGATTTTTGGTGTTCAAACCCTTCTTAAGGTATCAGGACAAATGACATCTGGGCAATAAGTTTCACAGTTTTTTCAATATGATAAAAGCATTACAGTTGGTCACTTTTGCTTTCTCACCAGATAATGGTAAGTATGTTTGTGTTTACATTGATTCTGCATTATAGTTTGAGACTGTAAAAGTACAATTTGATTGTATAATTGGTAGATCTCAGTGTGTATGGATATGCCTGCTTCAGCATCCTCAAAAAATTGGTGTTTGGCAACAAAACTTTAAGTGGAACCAGGCTCTAACTAGAAGGAGTAAAAAAATTAATGTTTTTTCTCTTGTTCTAGCATGTCTTCTGAATCTTGTAACATCGCTTGAGTTCTGCTGCTAAATAGACATTCCAGAAGTAGACTCTCCACTCCTCCCCCAGCCAGCAGAAAGCCTCTTATGACATTCTTATTCTGAAATCCTATAGCCTGAAGCGATTCCTGGTATATTGCCAGAACTTGTAGAACAACCTCTCACTTGCCTTCAAAACCAGTCCTGTGACTGGCTTCACTTACACATGACATGCATTGTAACTCTTCAAATAAGCAAGAGATTGTGCATTTCACAGACTATTTATGGATTCAGTGTAAAAGTATGTACACATATCAGAAGTTGTGTAGAAAAATAAAATAATTTGTTTGCAACTGGACTTAATTTTTCTGTATTGGCACAAAGTATGATTTATTCATTAACAATTTAGTTGCCAAAAAACTGATTGTTCTTAGATGCCAGCCATTTCTGGTGCAAGCAGATAAAAAGTTAACAGCATTACACCTGCCACTGGATAGAATCAGGACATTTGGGATCCCTGGTAAAGAAGAGAATTAAGCCGTTCAAGCATGTTGTGAATTGGCTTTTCTGCACATGGATGATTTCCTGGAAAGACTCCTTAGTTTGATTTACTACTTCATAGTCTTCCCTACATGTTATATGGCTTTATACTGTATGTATATAGATAATATACACTGTACTGGTATATAGGTAATATAAACACCAGTTATATAAACTTTCAAATACTGAGAGAAATTAAGAATTCTGACCACATTTTGTAAATGTTCATGCTAGCTAGCATTTTAATCTGCACATTGAATAAAGCATTATATGAAGTGTTTATTTTATATATTTGATTACATGTTTGGTTATATATTCCTTAAATAAATGAGGCAAGAATAAAAGAAAGCTAGTTGTCAGGAATTGGAACATCTTTGATATAAACTACCCTCTGCTTATTCACACTGCAATTTATATTCTGACACAATGCTCACATCAGGGCTATATAAGATATTTCCAGACTCCTGTGATACACAGTTAGGATAACAGTCAGTGAAGCATGCCTTTACATCCTCTGCTTTCTCAGTCCCAGAAAGAAGGAGGTACCCTGGAAGTGTAAAGATGGGCACTGACACTTGAAAAACATGGAGCTGTTGGTGAAGGTTGATAGCTGTTCAACTGTGGCAGCAGAGATGTTTTTGGAGAAGCTATTAGAGATTGCTGAGAAACAAACTTGTACCACTCTATGGACATTTTCAGCAGTTTTGTAACAAGTTGTGAAGATTTGCAGTATGTGCAGAATTCACTGAATCTTAAAATAGGTGAGCCACAGAGAGGAAAAATCTTTCTGGAATGTATTATTACCTTGGTATAAGGACATGGAGCATGCTATAGATGCATCAGGGGTGTGAAAAGATTCCTCACTCTGACTACATGTGGGTTTTTTTGATAATGTGTCACTCTCAGAATAGGGATGTTGGGGACGATCCTCTTAGTAAGGGAGAAGCTGAGCAACAACACCCTTTAATGGCCGTGTTCTGACCCATGCCAAGATATTTTCTGTGAGATGGGTGAATCACTATATAGAGCTATTTGCCTGGAGGTTCAGTGATAGATCCAAGCCTCTTGCCAAAGTGATGATGTTGTTGCAGCCTTGTACCTCTTCTGAGCTTAGGTTTAGGATCTCCAATGTCTGACATTCTTTAACATGAAGAAGAGTCACTTTATTTTTTTTCCCCCTTTGGCCTGAGTGGTCAGAGCAGTAGCAGACTGTCGTATTGAAGCCACAGTCTTACAGGTCATAAAGTCACGGTGAAGTCCTCTGAAGAGGTTGGGAGGAGACAGTAGCAAGGAAAAAAAATGGCTGATGTAATTGTTGGAAATGATTTAGTGACAGTTGCAACAATTCACAGCCTTTTAACTTACCAAACATGAGTAGCTCAGTGGCAACAAAAAAATGGACTTGGTAATTCATTGCTTCCTCTTGAGAGAGATGGGAGCATATTGCTTTTTTTTGAGAGCAGGTAGGTGTTTGCAATTTGTGTGACAAATGAGTAAAGTTCACTGAACCACAAGCAGCCATTATGGCAACCTAGTATGTACAGCTGGATGCTTGATGACATCTCCTTACAAGGGAATTAATGATGCATATTTCAACAGGGCTGACCTCATTCTTTAGCATTGCTATGTCCAGTGAAAGGGCATAAAACCTGAGACTGGACAAGAAATTGCAAAATTCAGCCAGGGTCTGTTGAGTTTCATCAGGACTTCAGAACTTCATGAGAATCTTGTGATCATTGGAAGAAGCCAGGAATAGGGATAGCTGACTCCTCGACATGTGATATGCTTGATAGAAAAGCTTTGGAGAGCTGAAGAGGGCTTGACCTGTTCTTTCATCCTGATTCTCAAGAATAGGAATGCTAACACCATGAAACTGAAGCAGGGCGTATAGAATAGAAAGGAGATTGGTTACAGCCCACTTTAAATTAATGGAACATCTAATGGACCAGTGTGGAACTTAGCAATTTGCTTGTTTTTCTGTGGTGGAAATCACAGAGCTAATGACATTTAAGGCCTAGACTGGAAGCTTTGACTGATGAAACATGTTGCTAGGGGGTGTTTTTTAGGAAAAGATATTGGGTAGGATAATCAGAAAAAAGTGGTCTGGTCTTAACTGGAAGAACAAGACCAAAAGTGAGCTCAGAAAAAGGAAAACAAATAGGAAATGTAAATACGAAATTAAAAAAATTGTAAAGGATTAAATTGATTAAACATGAAAAATGTTTAAGTCAGAATAAGCAATACAGTTCACTGAGAAGAAATGCTTGTTCAGAGCTATGGTGAGGTGGAGGTCTCATGCTGCAGTCTCTTATACCACATGGGAGAGATGCCCATGAATTTAGTATGCTTTTGGCAGCTGCTGGAGCTAAAATGCCTTTGGAGTAATTCTGCACACACAGACCAGAATGTGTATCTGTCCTTAAGGCAGAACTCTTGGGCAGTGAGTAAGAAGACCCAACTAGGAGTAGCAGAAGACGATTAAAAAGAAAATGATGTCTCAGATTGACTGTAATCAATGTTTCCTACTTGGCCACAAAGGCTTTCATGAGCAGTATAGCCAATAAAAAATATGCAAGAAAATGTATGTCAGTACTTTTTTTTGCCAAAGTAATGAATTATCTGCAAAAAATTAAGTCATGTATGAAGAACAGCTGAGCTGGGCCTAATTATTTGGGTTGACAAAAGACATGCTAGCAATAGAAAAAGGCATTCTGAAATGAAGGCTGTGGTTCAGTCTGCTCTGTTACGGGAAGCCAGTCTGTCTTATATCAGTGTAATTGTGGATTCTTTTCTGATGCTGACCTCTTAAAAAACACATGGGTGGCACTTCTGTCCTTTCCAGTGAGTGAGGGAACAGTTCTAGTCAGGCAAATTAGCACTGGCCATGGTTATCCAGGCATTCCCTTGAGTTTTGGCCAGGCTGTAACAAGGTTCTAGTTGGTGCAGAACAGCGCCAGGGATGTGCCATTTCAGGTTGTATGATGACTGGCATACAAGGCGTGGAGTCACAAATGGAGCACATGTTCTTGGTCCTCAACTACGGAGTGTAGCAGTGACAGCACAGGGGTGCCTAAATCTATGCAACAAACTGTGATTGCTCCATTTAGCCTTTGCCTCTCCAGACTAAGGCTAAAACGTGTCTGTGTGAGAGCTGGTCTTAGTGGAATGACTCTAAACACAGAGTATGTATCAGTTAAGCTGTGGTTGGAAATGTTTGCTTTCTGATACTACAGCTTGTGACTTCTCAGGAAAGGATGGTAGAGACATATTTAAGAAACAGTGTATATGTAGCTTACAGAGGGGAAATACGCTACAGACAAACTACTGACAAGTTCTTTTGGTATTTTTCCTTGCTACAGCTAGTGTTCTACACTATACCACTGAAATCAATACAGTGAGATACCACTTGACTTCCAGGAAGAGAGCTTTCAGCAGTAGTAGATAATTGTCTTGAAGTGACATGTTTTAAAACAGAGGCCTTGACAGCATTGTGCTTCAAGTGTTCTGCTTGAACTGTTAGAAAACACAAAAGGCTGGAGCGTGTTGCTACAAGTAAAGACTGTGGAATTCACAGGGAAGTACCTTCTCATCACTAACGCTGAAGCTAAGTTAGTGTTATATAACCCCTCACTGACTGCTGCCTTATAGTTAAATTGCTATTCAGAGCGAGAAAAGATATACATGGTAAAATATATTCAGTCCTAAGTACTTCACTGATAGTATCATCAAAATGAATGCTTTTGTGAGAAAGAGTAACAACTTTGTATTATGAAGGAATGAAGACCTCAGAATAAAAGCAATTGGAAAAGCAGAAACAAAATTTAACATGCCAGGTATATTTGTGTGTAAATTTGGAACTAAGAGATACAGAAACAAAGACAGGATTTTTTACATGAAATTCTGTGGAACATAAAGTATACAACAGATAGAAAGAGAACAAAGGAGAATATTGACTTTTGGTAATAATTTCTAATTGCTGAGACTATATATATGTATATAGTATAACTTCCTTCAGCTACAAGACTAAATAATTTATGTCTGGAGTGAAGCAGTACCTAGGAAACTTATGGATTCACTAAAAAATTCAAAGAAACAGTAAGGATTTGTATTAGCCAATTCATGTGGCAACTTCACCTATGGAACAAAATACAGGTAAAGATCTTTGCCCCAAGTGTTTCACTGCCTTTGAGGATCTACTTTGTATTTTACATTTCTGGTCTCATTGATCTATCTTCTCTTCTTCAGCTACCCTACCATTTATTTACCATTCGTTACCATTTGTTAAGCGTTCTTTCTTGCTTTTATCTCCTTCTTTTTGATCTTTGCCATTGCCAAACTCAAATTCATGTATTTTCCTGTTTTTTTCTGCCCTCTCTAGCATTACCCGTTGTATTTACAAGTTTTCCAGCATCAGTCTGTCAAAATAATTCCTTTAAAGAGTTATTTTAGGAGAAGGTAAATTGCTTAAAAATACTTTTGTGCTCAATTTATACTATCACTCAGCTATATAACAAGTAAAATTCTGCCAAAAATCTGAAATGACAGAGTTCATTTTCCTCTTGTCTCACCAATATGGCATAACAAGTGCTTTGCACTCAGAATTTAGGAAAGAAAAATGATGGTGGCCATGCATAATCAAGTCTAATTTGTCAGTATTTAAACGACTCTCTAGTGCCAACAGCACTGAAAGCTTGCTTTAAGAGATAAGCCAGAGGCATATGAATCCTAGCCTGAGAACATCTCCTTCACTGATCTGTGAAGCATTCTTTTTAGAGCCAAGTCTGCAATGTAGAAATTGTCATTGTTCCTTGAAATTCTGTAAAACTTTAACTTCCAAGAACAGAGCTTGGTATGTTTTGTGATTTCTCTTTGGTTTAGTTATCTCACTGACATTTCTCAGACTGAAGTAGGAGCACATTGTCTTGTCAGTATATAAAAGTATAGAAAAAATGTAGATCTTCCCCAGAATCAGAGATCCTAAAAGATAAAGAAAAGATAAAAGAAAATGGTAAAAAAACATTAATAGTAATAAATGTAATATACACACCAAACTGCATAAACGTAGACTAGTGCTCCCTCATTCTTTACCTTATTGTTGTCTCATTTCTTTTTCACTTTCCTTTCTCTTTCCTTTTGCCCTTCCTTTCTACTGTAATTGGAGCCACTTACCATACATTCTGTAGGTGTTTGCTTAAATGTGTTTTGTCTATAGTTAACTAAGCAGTGGGAGAATCCTCTTGGAGAGTTCTACATACTCTACATACTCAAGATCAGGTTCAAGTCACAATCATCCTTATCAGTATATCCTGAGAGATATAAACTTTCCATATTTCAGTGCCTTTTCTGAACAGATCCTTTATGAAACTACTTCCTAGTATTTCCTCCAAAGTTATAGTTCATTACACATTACTTGAATTTTATTATATGACCGTCCATGTAATCAATATCAACTTAAATAATAATTCATTCACCAACCAGGAGAGGCATTACAATTTTTACTATCCTGATAATTTGTATACGGTCCTTAACCATGTGAATAAATGTATTTCAGAAATGCGTATAAATTCATATATCATTCATTATTGCCTGATGAACTTGATTCAACAGGAGTTGTTAATAAATTACTTCTAATGCATTGGATATGTTGAAAATTTCTCAGATTATGTTGATATTATCCTCCTAGCTTCTTCTTGTCAGCTTTATACTATAAATTGTGTGCATGTCAACATATTACATGTTGGTATAGAAAATATATATAACTCCTTTTAAACTAAATTTTTGAAAAACAGTACTATGGAGTTGGATCATCTCATCTTTGGATGTGCTGAGTGTACATCCAGTTCCCTCATAAACTGATAAGTGTGTAATACAAGCTTTGAGAGAATGGTAGAAGCTCATCACCTGCAGAATTTACTTTCTAAATTATTTACTAAATTGTTTTACAATTCTATGCTAATCAATAACTTATCACTAAAGATCAGGCTATTAGCCCATATGCTGTCCAATTCATTTACTACCTATAGAATTACAGGAATTTATTCAACATGTCTTCTTCTTCTAATTTTTTTTTTTTTTTTTTTTTTTTTTTGTGGTACATTTATGCATACCTTATTACAAATTTAAATGTGCATCACTGATAATATACCTATTTTATACAGGCTTAGATGACCATTAATGCCTGGAAATACAGCAATACATTCACAATAACCGATCATCTCCTCTGGAGTGATTCCATGTTTAATGTAAAGATGAATTCCTTATGTCATTTTGAAAAAAGCTGCCCTATAATGTCTTAATGTTACCCTTCCTAGTTCTGGGAAAGCTTTTCAAATGTTGTCTAAGCTGTGGTCTAAAGCCGCTTTGCAAATTGTTTACAGGTCATGGTTTTGTAGAACACTTGGTGCTCTCAGGAATGACCTGGTAGTTGCTGTCTCTCCTGCAGTGTTTTAAGTGTCAGGCTGTTCTTTTCCTACCTTGTCTCCTTTAAGTCTTGTCCCACTTGTCCCAGATTTCTTTTCCCTGACTTTTGCATGTTATTTTGAATTTATTTTGTGTTGTCCAGGGCATGTCTCACCATCCAGAGGCAAATTTGGTTAGGTAGATTGGTATGGTACAATTCATACAGCCTGTGATTGGTGGGGGAACCTTGCAGAAGTACTAGGAGCAGGTAGAGACAGGGGAGAAAAGGAAGCTGTGAACAACAAGGTGCTATTCTCAGTGCCTGAGTTAGAAATTTATGGTGGCTGTATTCAACACTGGTGAGGCCACACCTGGAGTGCTGTGTCCAGTTCTGGGCCCTGACTGCAGGAAAGACACTGAGGGGCTGGAGTGAGGCCAGAGAAGGCCAGGTGGGGGTCAGCCTCTTCTCCCAAGCAACCAGTGACAGGATGAGAAGACATGTCATCAAGCTGTGCCAAGGTTCAGATTGGACATCAGGAGGAAGATTTTCACGGAAAGGGTTATTAAATACTGGTATGTCTGCCCAGGAAGATGGTGGACTCACCATTCCCAGGAGCATTCAAGAAGTGACTGGAAATGGCACCTAGTGCTTGTGACACTTGGTGGTGGTTGAAGATTGGACTTGATGATCTTAGAGGTATTTTCCAACCTAAATGATTCGGTGATTCTGTGAAACTGGTATCTCGCATACAGATGAGCTATTGACGGTATAGTGGTAGGATCTTGTCCCCTGGGAAGCAGCAGTTCCTGGCTTCTGTCGAGTTCCTTCCAGCAAGTTCAACCACTGAGTTAGAAAAGAAAAACACAATCTGACATATAATCCTTGACAAATTGCTGACCCTTGTATCTGAGGGATGAGAGGAAACTATTATCTGTGTTCACACAATTCTTTTCTCTGTAAGCAGCAATTCTTTGTCCTCAGCCTTAAGGAAAAAAGTCTGAATTGAATTCAGAAAGTTCAGTCTTATTTCTGTGTCTAAGAAGTCCCTTTTACAGATGATTGAACTCAGCCATGTCTGGAGTGAATGTAACAATTGTTTAAAAATGTGAAGTCTTAAATTATATCCAGCTGATTCTGTAGGGGAATTTTGCAGGCAGGAAGAAGTTAATTATTCAAAGCTGGATCCAGATCAGGATTAGGTTTATTGGCTCACACACTGTAAACTTGATAGTTCTAATCATGTAACTAACATATTTTTCTTCTATCATTTGTGAGCATGTGCAATGCTGTAAGAAAGTGTTTTCCCAGACAGCTCAAGAAACAACTTTTAACCTGTTTGATATTCAATTACACTTTTCTTAAGAAAAGGAATGTAAGCTAAAATCATATTCCAATATTTACTGAAAAAAAAATCCAAGTAGAAGCTTTTCAGGTCATAGTTTAGAATTCCTTGGTTTTGCTTTTTTCCCCTCAAAATGGTCAGGGTCAAAATGACCAGTATGTTTTCAGTGTTCTCATTTGTAGAAATGTGATGTTATCTTGGTGGTATGATTATCCTGAAGAATCACAGCTAGATTTTTGTCATATTAAGGGCTGGAAGATTTGGTTCCTGAACCATGAAGTGAAACTTACGGATGAAAATCTAGACCAGCAAAGCTAATGAATGTTTTGTTAATCACCCTGTAGGGTAAGGATGTTCTCTGAGGAATTAAATCTTCAGCCATTACTAGAAAGTTAAACAAAAGTATGATTTTATTTTAATCCTAATTCTGATTTTATTTTTAAAAATAGGTGTTTGCTGTTGAGCTCAAAAACAACTGAAGTCTCTTGCTGAATTCTGCAAAATTGTGCTGACCTCTGCTAATCCCTCTTATTTTTATGAAACCTAAGGTATCAGTACCATGAATAAGACAATATTTACAAGAAAATACCCAAGAGAATGAATTTTCATAAGAATTATCTTATTTAATCTCTAATTTCAAATTTGACTTAGTTCACAAGTTAAAAGATTTTAGAGGTTATAGCCCATGCTTAGGGTTACGTTAGTATTGCCTTCTAAAATAATGTTAGGGAGGATGAAATTTGGACTTACAAAAGAATGGAAATAAATCTGTCTTCAAAGAACAGAAGGAAGAAGAAGAAAGAAATAAAATTGTCTGCTCTTAAGACAAGTTGGTACTCAGAAATTAATAACATGAAAACACCAATTTTTAGTTAGAACAGGCAAGACATTTTGAGTTACTTACAAAAAAAATAGGATCATTATGAAAGTACCTTGAACTCTTCAGAAACCTTATAAAATATTGGTACAAAAGTAAAGTTATTTCAAGATACAATGGTATTGTTTTTTCCTTTTCATATGTTATGGTTAACTGAGGAGGAGAAGTTTTCTAGGATACGTATAGCCTACATCAGGTAAAAGAATCTTTACTTCAGCAGGAACCTTCTTAAGCAGTATAAAATTTGATACTGTTAATGCAGTATATCTGTGTTGAATGAGTTTGATCTATTTGTGCCTGTTTGTAGAACTTTTTTTTGTAGATGAGTCCAAAATGCAGACAAGAAATGTCACCTCTGGCAGACAGAATTGATTTTCTGCAAGGGAGTTTTGTGAACAAAAATTGTAGTGCCCAAATAATATTTTGTGATATTGCTTATGTACAAATGGAGACTGAAAAACAGTATTTCCTTGGAAAAGTTTAATGTATAAAAGAAGTAAAGGGAAATTCTGTACTCAGTAAAGTTATTTTTTTTCAATTGTCTTCTAGGTCAGTTTTCATCCTCAGTTTTCCAGAAATGGACTATCCAGGTGAGTAAATGCAATCTAGCCAAACTATAAAGAAATGTCACAGTAATTGAGGTCCTCTACATATTCAGCCTTTAATGGTACATTTTTCACAATGTGTATCTTTTCAATTACAGTTGATTTTTGAAACATGGATGACAATACTTGTGTCAATTTCTTTATGAAATGAAGTTACAGTGTAGTGGTGTAACGCTTGACTGACCTACAGCTTGAAAGGAAGGGAAGTACAGTGAATCCACTTCCTATTTGAGTCAAACCCTAGTTCTAAAAAAAGAATCACTGATAATAACAACAAAGAAAAGGGCCAAAAACTGTCAAGGTGAAAAGGGGGAAAACAGTAACAAGATCATTGAAGAGATACAGAGGACATTGTGCCTCTGTCAATGATATTGGGGTACTGCATAAATTTTAGCTACTGTAAGAAAAAGGAAATTTATCTTTTATTGTTTACCTTACACAAATAATCTTTCAAATTAATTGCTTTAAGTAATAGATTTCTTTAAACTTCACCAAGTTTCAACCTCTAACCTTCTCTATTTCTTATGCCAGGACCTCTGAACCAGGGGCTTCTGTTGTTTTTTGGTTACATTGGTACAATAGGCATATAACTCATTCTTCTGTGAAACCAAACAAATTTCTCTAATTATCATGAATATGTTATATTGCCTAGCTCTCTTCTTTGGATTCTTACTGTTAGTATTTGCTGACTTTTCAAAGGTATATTATGTGACCATTTTAGGTATAGTGAGCATTGTGTTGTCTAATATAGGTATAGGAAATGCTTCTTAGCCCATCTAATAACACCAGGAGGAGTTTGGATAATCTTACCGTCTTAGTCTAATGTTGGTTGTGAGTACTAGAGTCAAACCCAGCACCATTACCTTCAAGCACATGTTTGTTAAAGCTTTTCCTAGCAGCCTGTGTTTCCTCGAAAATAGTCAACATCTAAGCAAGACCTTGCATTTAAATAAAGTGTTTGAATTTGTGAGCCAGTCTGTATAAATTTACCGACTCCAGACTTTTCAGAATCTGTAAAATTTTAATTTTTTTGGGACATCTATTATTTTGCTAAGCCTGATCATCAAGCAAAGCCCTTTGTGTTCACCACTAACCAATATTAGCCATCTGGCAGCTATCTGTAGATTAAGTTTCCCAAACCATAATTTCTTTCCAGCGCTAAGCCTAGGCAGATGACCAGGGGCCTCCATTGGCGTCTCCCTTTCTGTTATTTTTAAAAATTACTTCCAGTATTTCTGCCCAGTACTTAGCACCCTTGTTTACTTTAGAGTATTTCCAGCAGATGGGGAAGAGTGTTCCATTTTCCTCACATTCAGCACATTTCCAAATGTCTTTTTTTTTTTTTTCTTTTCTTTAGAGCAATAATGGGACAATATACTACTGGAATAATATGTTTCAAGAGGGTTTTCTTTCATGGCTGCACTTCTTGATGACCACAGAGATCTCTTAGATGCCACTGTTCATCTTGCTTTGTGTTGCTTTGACTATGGCATAAAAGCGGAAGCATAGTCTGTAAAATGAATCTGCTCTAAAGAAGTACTCCAGATCTTCTCCCCTGCTTTTTACAGCTCTGTATTCTTGCTAACTGTGGCTGACAATTACAACTGAGAAAACAAACAGCTGCTTCAGATTACAGGAAGAGCAAAATAGTCCTCAATTCCAAGATAAGAATTGTTAAAAAAGTGAAAAAAAACTCACTGCAATATTACCTGTAGTTTTTCTCCTGGTTTGGAAGAGTGCTATATTTGCATGCTAGGGAGGCTTATAAAAGCTTTGAGTTATGAAGACAAAGACAACACTTTTGGTAGTGCTTTTTGCCCGTGACATGGCTTCTCCAGCCTCTGTTCAATATACAGGGTTTATATTCTAAATATTTGGTCAATACAGCTACAAGACTGGAAAGCACACACTCTCTAAGCACTTAGCAGTATTGGGAAACCAGTGAAGCTAAGGTGAAGTTATGCTGGTGTTGTTTACTTTTAAGGGTAATGAGGATGTTGCTTTGTTTCACCTATGTAATGTATTGTCAGAAAGAAGAAAAGCTCATGCTTTCCACTTGTATGTTTTGTGGCTCACTCAAGTTTTACCTAGGTAGTATTCTCAGCAGACAGACTACTACATTTCCACTGAAACAATTCAATTCCAAGCCCAGGAAATACAGATAAGAAATGAAATAGAAACATTGATCTAAACTTTGTGGTTACATAATTATTGGTAACAAGAAGTCTGCCTTCCCATTTTATTCATCTATGGGTTCATCTAAATCAGGCCTTAAATCAGTTTTGAATGGACTGAAATCAGTGTAGCTTAGAAAGCTGTCATAGAGGTTTCTGAAACTTTACAATCTTCCCTTAAGAAAGGCTGTGGGCCTCCTTGTGATAGGAGTCTCTGTATGAATAAAAAAATTATTATTTAGGACACAGAAGACACTCAAAAAACACTGGTGTGAAAATTCCAGGGAAGGATTATGGGAGTAGGTTACAGTTTCTAAACTTTCCAGGATGTAACACAAGCAGGAGTTGTTGCACAGTGTATTCTGGAAGAGTGGGTGTAGAAAGTCATGTAGTGCTCAACCAGCTCATGATTTGGCAGGTGAATTCCCACTTCAAGACATGCTCATAGCCTGTAGCTCCTGGCATCTTGCCTGCTTTTCTGGTTTGAAATGGGAGGAGTGGATTTCCATGTATAAAAGTACTTTTGTCTACAATTCACCTCAAATAGTTGTTTATCAGCTGCTACACTTTCTAGCTGGCCTTAAGCCTCAAACCCTATGACAGAGAAACTTTTTTTTCTAAAGTACTGGAGAACATATATATGTATTTGTGATTTAAAAAAATATAAACATATTAACTACATTGGAAATATTGTTCAAACAAATTGGACTTCCTTTTAAAGAAGCCAAGAAATATTTGGGGAGAAAGATTTTTTTAATTTTTTTTTTTCTATTTTCACTTTCTGTATTAAATCATTCAAAGCATGCCGATTACAGCACATCCTCTTTACTTCTTGTAATGTTCTTCTCTAAGAGAAACACTCATATAAACATTGCAGCAAATGGATCTAACATGTATTTCATTTTTCTCTTCACCTCAGGACTGTAAATGAGCCTAAAAAAAGATTGTAAAATTCTAAAAAGTGTTTTAAATTACTAACAAAACATGAAGAATTTATACACAATATATCTGAGGCTCTTCTGACATGCGACATAAAGGGTTCTGAAAGTCCTGTTGCACTTATCTACTAGAATATTTTACAGTGCAATTGCATCTCAGAGCTCTATAAACATTATTTTAGAATTGACTGGAACATCTGAACCTAAGTCACTGCTTGATGCTGACTGGCCCAATGTTCCTCTACAATCATTTTACACTAGTGTATGTAAGAATTCCAACAGCTGTACTTTTCAACTGGCCTTGCAATCTCCCATTTTAGACAATATGTTTACATGTCTGGCTTCTAAAAACAGTAACAGGAATGAGGTGAAGGGTGAGAGATGCCTTGCAGGAAGACTAAAGAGCGCTCTCTAAAAGATTCTTATGAAGCTAAAAGAGCATGTATTTCTTAGTTTACAAAGATTGCTGATACATTTGAAGGAGCATGGGCTGTTACTATTAATTTAAAAATAGTTAATAGTTAGAGAAAGCCTAAGGAATCATGCATATATAATCATTATGCTTTATCCACTGCTAAAATGCAACCCCTCTTAGGGTGAAACAGTGACTGCTCAATATGGCTTGTCAGCACTACAAGGATTCTATCTGTCAGATAACCAAAGTGACTGGTATTAATGGATGACTTGAGAATACCAGTTTTCAAGTTTTCAGTAATTAACTGCAAATGGGCATCATGCATGGCTGAATCAAGAATCCAACTAAGATACCTTCGCTATATCACCTTGGCCAAAATAGTTTCATTTTCCCCTTCTGTGTAGCCTGCTTATTGCAGTTATAAATTTGGGGATTACAGATGTCTATTTCTTGTAACATATTTGCAAAATAAGAAGCACAATCATGTTTATATTTTCACTGGAATGTCTAGGTGCTACTTTGATATGAGGGAATAAATTACAAACAGTTAAATAAATAGTCACACCTTATGTATAAAAGATGCACTTTAGTGTAATTGGAGTCTAATGGAACCAAAATGAATGGCAAAAGATTTGCCTGCAGCTTGGGAGAGGATGGATGCAGTCTGAGACAATGCTGGCTTCTGCCACAAGCTGTATTTCCAGTTATGCTGACTGCAAAGTGAAAGAATATTTTGCATAATGGAATTGGCCTTTTTTTTTTTTTCTGTGTACACCAACCACATGAACCACACCCTAAATGGTTGCTCTTTTATAAATCACGGTACAGATTACTATCATGTGCCCTGCTGCTCTGTGACACTGGGCTCTTTCATGAACATATTTATTGCTTACTTTCCTATACTCCTGCTAGACACTATTAAAAGCGCTCACTGGTGAGATCTTAATTTAAACTGGGTAAGTATTTCCAGAAAGTCAAAACTGTTAGCATAGTCCTGGCATTTTATGGCATAGGTGTATGATGCTAAACAGGTTGAGTGTACATAGAAAACACTCCTGAGGTGGTGTATGAGCCAGCTATGTTGCTGCTGGCCAGTATGAACAGGTAGTATGAAAGCCAGTATATGATCACAGCAGAAAGTGGCCAGGAATCCACCAGGAAGTCTCTCTGTAAGAGAGTTAGGATGACAGTGGGAAGAGAAACAATAAGCTCCTCTGGCTCTGCCTGGAAAGAAGGTTCCCATTTTTGAATACAGAAACAGAAACTTGATTCTAGTGCTTGTTTCTTTGTATGTAGGAAGCATAACCCTGCTATTGAAAAATAATCGGACCAAGTTAGAGACCATGCTTCTAACCTCTCATGTATCTTACTCAGATTTATTTGCTAGTCATTAGGATCCATGCAATAGTTGCTCTCACAACTATTGTGAATACTTCCCTGAAAATTCTTATTTTAACTCTAATCACATTTGGAAACAGGGCATCATGTGGTTGTTCCTCAGTTCCTTCCTTCCCCACTGAAAGAGTTTTCCAGCGTGCTTTGGTATGGACACCTGGGACTTAGAGCTCAACACACTGAGTTCCATTTCATTGCTCTGCTGCTCTATTCTGTTGAATTAAGCCTTACAATTTCCTCTTTGCAGAGGTTGTGGTAGAAAGTGTTCAGGTTTTAAATCTTACCAATCCATTGAGAACACCACTAAAATAAGTGAATGTGATATATCATTTTTATAAAGAAACTTTTTTTTTTCAGAGTACACAGCAGAAATTAACTGGTGATCTGAGATAGCCATTTGTGTTTTCCAAGAACTTCAACAGTCAGCTGACACTCTTTTACCATTTGTCCTTTACAGACAAAACTACACACTCTGGGAGACCTGCCCTGAAAGGAAGATTGGGTAATCATTTTAAAAATGACAAATTGAAAGTTTTAGTCCAAAAAATATAATGCCTGAACAAATGCATGCATTATAGTGAGGTGATACACGATACTGCAACTAATTGCAGGAGCTTGATGTTGTGAAAGAGTTGTTTTACTGAGTTCATGTTATAATTTCCAATAGTACATCACTATTACTCTGTGTTGTTGGCATTGAGGGCTTAGTACTCCTTCATCCTAAAATGTAAATAACAGCTGGAGGATCAGTGCTCCAGATTTCAGATGTCGCCCATAAACAGAAGAAAAGAATAATCCCTGCAAAATTCATACTCTTGTAGAAATCCACATGGTTGTCTAATCAAAAATGACATAGAATCACAGAATTGTTTAGGTTGTAAAGGACCCTTAAGATCATTGAGTCCAGTTGTTAACCCAGAGCTGCCAAGTCCACCACTAAACCATGTAGTGAAGTACAACATCAAGGTTTTCTTTTAAACATCCTCAGGGATGGTGACCAGCCACTTCCCTGGGCAGTCTTGACAGCTCTTCCCATAAAGAAAAGCATGGAACATTAATCTCCCCTGGTGCAACTTGAAGTTCTTTGCTCTTGTCCAATTGCTTGTTACTTTGGAGAAAAGGCTGACCCCCACCTACCACACTCTCAGTCAGTTGTGGAGAGTGATAAGGTCACCCCTGAGCCTCCTTTTCTCCAGACTAAACACCCCCAGCTCCCTCAGCTGCTCCTCACAACACTTGTGCTCCAGACCCTGCCCCGGCTCCCCTGCCCTTCTCTGGACTCACTCCAGCCCCTCAGTGTCTTTCCTGCAGTCAGGGCCCAGAACTGGACACAGCACTCCAGGTGTGGCCTCACCAGTGCCCAGGACAGGGGGACAATCCCTGCCCTGCTCCTGCTGGCCACACTATTGCTGAGCCAGGCCAGGATGCCATTGGCCTTCTTGGCCACCTGGGCACAGCCTGGCTCATGTTCAGCTCCAGCCACCAGCACTCCCAGGTCCTTTTCCAGTGGGAAGCTTTCTTCCCCCAGCGGTTATTCCCCCAGCCTGGGACTTTTGTGACCCAAGGGCACTCGGCCTTGTTGAACCTCACACTGTTTGCATTGGCCTCTTGATCCATCCTGTCCAGAACCCTCTGCAAGCCTTCCTGCCCTCCAGCAGATCAGCATTCACACTTGGTGAATCAACTTGGCTACCAATGTAATATTGCTGTTTAGTTAAATAATACAATGAGGTTATCCATAACAACCAACAGGACCTCCCCACACCCCCAAACTGTTGTGTGGAATGCAGAATTTATCACACTTTTCCAGATTATAATGTTGCAGAAATGCATGTGAATTGATGCTTTGACAGAGTTTAGAAGATGGGCCAGGAGGCAACTAAAGCTTCTACTGGTATGAGAGCATATTGGAAGAAAATAATAAGTGATATCTAGTGCAGAGACAAAAGTTCATGTTTTAAATTAGGATCGTTTAAGTCATCACTTGAAGCAATTCATACTTGTTAGTTTGAACTGTCCCAATAGTTTAGTTTAGCCCAACATTTGCATTAGTAAACTTGTATTATGGAGTTATACATTTGAATGTTATATATGAATGTTAAACAAGGGAGACAGCTAATGTAGGTTTTATTTTCATATCATTTAGTTGGCACAGTAACACAACAAAATTTTCAGACCAGTCTGTTGCCTAAAGCAGAGCATGTCAGTAAGAACTGAAATCCTATAGCTTTCCAGTGGCCTCTGTGGTTTGAATTGATGATTTTGCTTCAGCTCACAGAAGCCAGTTGTAAGCACTGGCCTTTTTAATCTTAAAGACAAGTTAAAGAACAAATCAACTTGTGATTTAGATTTCACTGTGAGAGTTTTTAATTTGGTACAAATGGAGAGCATGACAACCTCATCATGCTCTTATCACCTTTGCTATAGTGAACCTGTGTAAATAAAGCTGTGCATTCTCAAGTGCTGTTCACCCAGCATCTTTTTTTGGGTGACAATGATGGGCCGAGATGTTTACCGAAGGGTGCTGCCCAAGAGAGGTTGGGCTAACCATAAGTACCATGTCTGGTGTCCCTTCATGGGCGGTACTACAAGGCAGCAGCATTTTAATTTGGATCAGCTAGGAAATGTGAAACAAAACCATCTTTTGTGATGAGTGTTATGTGATGGGTTCAGTTAGAGTTCATAAAACCTGTTAGGAGAGCAGCTGGAGTGCGCTTTTAGTGGATTAGTTTGTTGAATCTCTTTTCTGTAGTTTGGGAGGGCAGAGTGGTACTGTGACTCCAAAACCTCTGCCTATTCTCTTCCATCATCTAAGAACGTTATGGAGAAGAGAGGACAAGGAGGATCAAGGAGACAACTTGTCTTGCTGTACCTTTCCTCATCCAGTGAGTGATCACACAAAGCAATTGCCAAGAGAAGGTTCCACTTAATTTTTCTGAGGATACAGTCTGTTTCCAGTCTGTTCCTACTGCTCTTAAGTTGTGATTCTGGGCTAAGATTCCCGGTGTCCTGAGTGAACTGTTCATAGCTATGGGTAATGTTGCTTTCCCGTCTGCTAGTGACAGCACTGTGACTACTACATATTACCCAGTGGAACCCTTGCAGCTGAGCTGGCCAAGGTGGCTTTTGGTCAAGAATAAGTGTAGGCCAGTGGCCAGGCTCTGCTGTCAGATTCTGACTCTCTGCACTGTACCCTGAGAAGAATAATTTATTGTCTTTGTTTCAGCCCTCAAATTGTTTCTTGCATTCCTCCATTTGATTGCTATAAATGCAGAACACTCAAAGCAAGTTAAGGAGGGAATACATAAGCCACATTTTGGAAGTTTAACACCTGAGCACTGAAGTTAGCTCCCACTAGCCACAGTTCTAGGAATCCATTATTGTAAATTTCATGTCTAATCTTTCTACCTTAGTTTCTTCAAATGTGACTTGGGCTAATACTATTTAATAAAGTACTGGGAAGTTTGCAGTCATGGAATGATAACGTTTTTGTTCAGTGATAAATTTCATTAGAACATATAAATATATCCTGCATTTGGCTACAAGATATCTATGGATTTTAGTAAACTGTTGCTATCCTTGCATAAAATCTGTGAGGAAAATAAATCCTCTGTGAAAGCAGACTATCTGCCTGTCTGCCACCTTACCAGAAAACACCAGAAGCATGCAAAAACTGGTACTGGATTTTTTTTTTATTTGCATAAAGAACTTACTCTGATTCCTGCCAGTTTGAGTGTTCTTTTTACCTTTGTCTGACATGTGCTGATCTTACATTTACAAAAATAACATAGAAAACTAGTGTCAATAGATCTGACAATAAAATGAAATCTTATTTGTGAAAAAGAATTTGGAAAAGTATTTCTTTCTGTTGTGTGTAACAATTGCCTCAGTTAAGAGGGTGGTGTCTGAATTAAGAAGTGCTACTCTAGTAAAGGAGTAATATTGCTGACAGTCTGGACATATTGATTTTTGCATTTCTGAAACTAAGTACTATGAGGTCTGCATTGGGAACAGTATAGGAGAGGCTTTAGCTGTGCTTTTAAAGAGCCTATAAATGCAGCATCTGTTTAACTGTACAGTAGGTATGCATGCAGTAGTGAAAACAATAAAATCCTGATGAAAATTTATCTGGCATAAAAACCCCCAACAGAACAGAAGGCAAAAGAAGGACAGTAAGGACACAAATTGCTCTTCTTGGCCTATGTCATTAAGAAGTCATTATGTGGAAATCACCTTGTGTATTAATTATAATTAACCACCTTAGTGGACATAATTTTATGTTTCCTGATGAAACCTAAGCAGTGACAAATCGGAGGCAGTTTTCCCAAGACATGTCTTGGAATCTACCAAAAAAATAAGGTGACAAATTAATTTACAGTCAAAACAATATTTTCAGAATATTCAGCTGAGGGAGAAAAACTACAGAGACAACAACAAACTTCAGTGGTTTCTGTCTGTAATTTCTAGGACATAATGGAAAAATATCTCAAATCAATGTGAGGAAAATCTTTATAACATCACAACATAGTGAACGGTGGAAAAAACACTAGACACTCTAACAGCAGAGGTCAAAGCATAAAAATATTGTTAGAGTTTCAGGTGTTAGAATTTTCAAAAGCATCCAACTCCTTCCTGATAAACTCCCTATACAGGATGTCCCTTTGGATCAACGGCTGGAGAGTGAATGAACCTTTCAGAAGCTCCAGACCTCTAGTTCTGAAAAACTTACATCTCTAGGGTGCTAGGATTGGACAGATGAGGTGGCAGCGCCTCTCACAGGTTTCACAGAATTAATTAACGATTTGGTTTATCTGTTCTTGTTAATAAATCTCTGCTTGCTTCTAAGAGTCTACTGCAAGAATCACTTCAGAAATACTACAATTTTGGTGAATTTTAGAAACCAAAAATGCAGTCTTTACAAATGTATTGTATAACCAGAGTTTCTGGTCAGAACTTTTATTTTTTTCCTTCCTCAGATTATATTTACTCTCAACTTCTTATGTGAAAGATACAACAACCGGTGTTATTTTCACATAAGATACAATTATTTAAGTGCAGCCAACAATTCATGCACTGTAGGAAGGTCTTCCTTCACAGCCTTCAGTGTGTATGCAAAGCTACTTTCACCTCATCAGGCAAGCTGAAAGTACAGCTGAAGTTTGTGGCATTCTGTGTGAGAAAAGCATCTGCTTCCTGATGTAATCATGATAGGAAAGGCTGTGACTGTGGATCTTTTGTAGTGGTGATGATGGCTACAGGGACACATTTGAGATCTGGACCAAGCCTTTTCTTAGTGCATTAGTGCGTTCAGACAGTTTCAGTCTGCTCCTGTGTGATACAAGGAATTCTGCCACATTCTTCTTCCAAAGGATGGAATTCCACATGCTTAGCATAGAAACTTGTGCAAAGGTACAGGAAGGCACACATGTGTAGAGTCAAATAATACTCTTAGACAGGTATGAACATACCCTGACTCTGCAGGTTCTTTTAGTGTTTGCAGAACTACAGAAAGTCACACCACTATGCCAAGTACCCTAAAGCATCACAGTGACATGGGAATGGAGACTTCATTACAGAAGGCTGTGCAATGTAAGTGAGCAGAGATGCTGAACCAGATGACCCACTGCGGCCCCTTCTACCTTGACCATTCAGTGATTCTGTGATTGTGTGACCTTACTAAGCTCAGTAACAGCTGCATCAGGCAGGCCCTTGTCAGTGTTGGCTATCTGTGAGGAAAAGTTGGACTTCAGGATCCTGACAGGCATGGGGTTAATTTTTTGTTTCTGTGTCAACTGCTTTACATCAAGTACTCCTCTGTGCCCTTGGTCTCAGGTGGCTCTGAGGCTGGGCACTGGACGAGCTGGTCTAAACAGTCTCTTATAATGGTGAGTTTTTACACAAATAAGGCCAGCGCAGAAAAAAATCTCAGAATCTAAGGAATTTCCTATGATTCTCTGAATCCTCAGAAAACCCTGTGAAAAAAATGAGAAAAAAAATACACCTATAAAATACATAGGTAAACAATGTGTACTTGTAATATTTCTCCTAAATCATTATGAAGGTGCCAATGCAGAGGAAGAGGTGTGATGAGCCATGATGACATTATGTGAGCTCTTAAAGCCATCTTATGATTGTTTGAAAAGTTTATATGCTTTTATATCCCAAAGTGATAGCTATGGTGCTTCTGGTGTTTTGCAGTGGAAAAATATATGGATTGTGCAGACAATCCTTTGGTGATGGTAGTAGAATGCAGTCTATTGAGTGGTGAGGGGACAGAGATCTCCACCTTTCGCAGTGGTAGAAGTGCTTAATTAGGACTGAATTTCAGAACCAATAACTTGCTCTGTAGGTATTTAAACAAGAAAATTAGCAGATATTCTGCTCAGCAATAGAAAAGCTTTTGAAAGACTGTCATAATAGTAGGTGATGCTTTGTTTTACATGTGCATGTTTTTCCCTGTTTTCAGTAATGGACTAAGGCTAATCACCTGCAGTTTACTGGAAGAGTGGACCAGTCCATTCAGTATCAATGTATGAGCAAATGGTCATTTTAAATAAAGACTGCTTTTAAAATAATTTTGAAATTATATTCATAGGAATGGTATAAGGGATGTGGAGCTTATGCTGGTGAGGAGACACACTGTGTTTTGTTCAGAAAATATATCCTTTGTTTATATATGTTTTCTCAGCTCCCTGTGCCAAGCTGAACTCCCCAGACACCTGAATACTTCACACTCTATGAATAAATTCTCAACTAGTGTCAGAGAAGAATGTGCCAGGATTATTCAATCACTAGGCAGAGGGGAAAAATATCTCTGTCATGACCTACCAACCAGACATTTCTTGGCAATTGCTAATCAACAGTGTAAGCCTTTTATTGTCTCCTGCCATTATCTTCCAGGAAAGGTCTGAGCAAGAGGTCAGAGTAGCTTAAGTAGGTATTTGTTCATTTGTTATCTTCCATGCAGTGTGCTGGAGTCAACAGTCTGCTCTCCATTGAAGGTGAAATACTTCACCTTAATTTGTTATGTTCCTTTACTGTAGAATTTGGCAACCAAACTCAAAAGATAAGAATACTTTCTGGTGGGAATGTTTCTGAGAATAATTTTTAGTGCTTTCTATGAGCATTAATTTTTGAAAGATCTATATTTGGTAAATCACAAACTACTTCCTTATTGGCAGTCTACAGAAGAAACAGATTAGAAAAGTGACCTGGATCTTAACTCAGATTACCAACTCCTGCAGTTCAGGTAACAACTGTATTCTATGCTTAACTTTGAACAGGCAATTGGATTTGCATTCCTTTCCTGAAAAAGACTTTCTTGGGTTGCAGACCCCCAGAAAAAAAAACATTAATTCCTAGAAGATGATAAGGAAAAAGGGGGTAAATTATATGAAAAATTAACCTAGCACCTGCCTTCTGTCACACAAATAAATTGCCTAGATAGACAGTGGTAATGTGTGTGGTAACAAGTGACTGGACTTGAAATTCTGCATTTTTTTAAGGACTTTAATTTGAAGACCAGTGCTTTCTTTGATCAGAAATTGTTCATTATTCAACTTTGTCCACCCATGCTGCCTTAAAAAAGCACTGCTGAACAGGAAAACCAGAAATTTGATTGCTTCCTTTCTAGGAATGGAAATACCCATTCCCAGAAATGGGACATTTCTCTCCCTTTCCCTTTTGCTGTAATACTGGAAACATTTGAAATTTGTTCAAGTCTCTATGGGAAACCAAGACAGACAGCTCTATCTTCCTCTCCAGCATAGAACAGCAGTTGGCAAACAAATGACGACTGCCACATGGTTGACTTTAGGCAGCCCAGGACTCCTGGACCCTGGACATGCAAGGAAATGCAAGAAAAGAGAGAAATTCACCTCCTCTCTCAAATCCAGCAGTAGCAATGAGGCTCCCCTTCTACCCAGGGAAAAATGGAATTGCATCACATGACCAGCCTCTTTTGAGGCATCCCAGTAGATAGCTAAAGGTATGGTTTCCTTACCCATTGAAAAGGGCTAATGTGGCAAAGGAGTTACAAATGCTTGACCTCACTAGGATTTCCTTGTTATGCCATTTGGTCTTCACTCTCTTCCACATGCTGTACCCATTCCCAAGCTGTTTGTTGAACTAAAGATAATTAATCTCTGCCAGAATGGTTAATTTAGGCTTACATTTTGTGAAGACAAACCACATTCTTGTGACGGCCAGAGCTGTAGGAATTAGATTTCCCTTCTTTTCTGTGCAGTCTGCACCAAAACCATTTTATTTGTACCAAGTGGTAATGGCAAAAAGTCTGCACTGAAGCTTTAATGTTTCTAGGAAATAACTTATGAACCGTTTCTCTATTGTATGAGGGCACACAGAGAGGTACAAAGTGGCATAAGTTGGGACAGAGATTTTGGGACTTGCAGTAAGGTAGAGTTTTATGCAGAGAAGCTCAGAGGCTCTGTAGAGCAGAGAGAGCAGATTAGCCGGTAACCTTGTGGAGCAAATACCTGTCTGCTGTACTACAGGAGAGATTCTGGACTTTTCAGTGAGACTGGCCTTAACAGGACTGGCCAGGTGCAAAGACAGAGTATGCCAGAATTGATTTTTCTTTTACATGTGCATACATCTGTCATGCAGTGTTTTTTCTGCCTCAGGGAGTAGTTGTCTGTGATGTCCAAGCACATGAGCTTTTTAGTCTTACGTTTTTCATCAAGAAGCTAGATGTTTACATCACTTGATGAATTTGAGCTTTATAATCAGACATTTGGGTGAAATATTTAAAAATAAAACTTTGTTTTATTTGTGTGCAAAAGTTCCACTT